GTAGGAACTCTGTTTTAACGGTTCATAGTCTGAGGGCTAAACAGTACATTCAAACTGTAGAGCTGTTCTAGATATAAGCTTAAAAGATATTTAAAATCTTGAATGTGTTACATGTGTGAAAATGAAAAGGCTGAGTCTGAGATCATACACACAGAGTGGGCTGATGCCGTTCCATATGTCCTGGAACAGTTACAGATGCATTTTGGATCTGTGCAGCAATAAGCAAATTTTTACAAACAAGCAATTGTTCCAAAGTACAGGTAGATTCTTCTTCACATAGTGCCCCTGTGGGTGTTCCACTTCAGGTGCGCATACACCCTATGTGCCTTTGATGGGAGATTTTCCTTAGCTGTGTCTGTTTTGACCCACGCATGCGTCCTAGGGGTCCTTCTGCTCCACATCGAGGCTATACAGGGCTTGCCGAGTTCACTGGGTTTTAAATGCTGCCTCACATGCTGCAAGGCCATCCCAGTCAGTGATGGATACTCTAAGTGCATTTGGTGTTTAGGAGAGACACACATCCTGCAGAAGTGTGTAACATCTGTTTAGTCCTCAAATTCGAAACGAGAAAGAACTGGGAAATCAAGCTTCAACTGTTAATGATATTAAAGATGTTCTACTGTTAAAGCTTGAAGCCCGGCCCCGCTTCAGAGCCAGGTCAGGAGAGCCCCTGTTTTCATCAGGTGGGATCTAGCGCCCCTTCAACCTCAGCCCAGCATTCTCCTAGAAAGCAGAAGGCTTCTGAGACTAATTCTAAATGAAGCAAGAAGAGGAGCTCTAACTCCCCTCTTAACCAGTCCACTTTGAAAAGACCTCTCTCTTCAAGCAGGTGAATGGCTTTGGAAGCCTCCGTCTAAAGGCACAGTGGGTTGCTCCAGTACCAGTGGAGTGGAGAGACCCCATAGCTCTAAGAGCAAGCATGGCTCGAAGAAGGCACTCGTTCTGTCTAGAAGACTGGTACCATCAAATATGCTCTTCCAGTACCACCTCCAACAGAGTCCTCAGTACCATGTGTGACCAAGCCCCCATCTACTTGAGTAGCTACCTCAGAGCATTCAAAATCATGGGGATGGGCAGGGACAAGCAGGCTGTCCGTTTTGTGCCACCGTACTTTAGGTACCCAAAGAACTTTATCTGTGGCTGCTGAGTCAGAGTTCCTTCTTCCAGCTGGTGCCAATGGTCATGTAACGACAGAGGCATCTGTGTTGGGATGGGGGCACACCTCAGTGCTCATACAGAGGCAGATAGTCACCCAAGAAACCACCCTCCACATCAACCTGTTGGAACTCCAAGGGTTTAGAAATGCATGCCTTCGCTTTCTGCCTCTCATCAAAGACAAGTCTATCCGAGTCATGACTGACGATGTGTGCTGCATGCAGGTGGGGACGAGATCCCATTACCTCTGCATCGAAGACAATAAAGCTATGGAACTGATGCATAAGGCATCACATAAGAATTTCATCACAGCCAATGATCTCAGCAGGTCTTTTCACCAAGACTACAAGTGGGAATTGGACTCCTATTTTTACCGATATATTTTGAACGTAGGGATTCTCAGAAGAGGACGTCTATGCCACAGCTTCAAACAAAAAATACTACCTGTTCTGTTCAAGGGGAGGAGCTTCCGCCTCAATTAATTGCGGGATGCCTTCCTCCTCCCTTGGAAATAGAAGCTCTTTTAAGTGTTTCCCCCATTCCTCTTATTCTCTGTGTGGTGAACAAGATCAGACAGCATGAAGCCAGAGTTATCCTAATAGACCTGACATGGTTGAGGCAGACATGGTTTCCTGCCCTGCTTCACCTATCTCTGTGTCCAGCAATAAAGCTTCCAATAATTCCTCATCTCCTGTCGCCAGAAACCATCTGGCTGCTGCCTAATCTGAGAACTCTCCACCTCAAGATGTGGCTTCTCGATGGCTCGTTGGGAAAGAGCCAGCAGATAGACTCTTTTCTACCATTTAGTAATACACCTCTACCCTGATAAAACGTGGCCCTTGGGAGGCAAAAAACTCACCGCATTATAGGTGAGACCACTTTATATTGAATTTGCTTTGCCGCCGCGCCCTCCCCTCCCCACCCCCGTTCGTTGTTCCCTGACTGCCCCCTCCAGAGACCCCCCCATCCCTAATCACCCCCCAGGACCCCATGCCCTACCCAACCCCCCTGCTCCCTATCCCCTGACTGCTTCGACCCCTATCCACACCCCCTGCCCCCTGACAGGCACTCACCTGCGGCGGGAAGCGGAGCGCCGTGGCTGGGAGCTGGTGGAGTGAAGCGGGCTGGGGCCGGGCTGTTCCGCTTCCACCATTGCCAGTGAGTGCAGGGGGGATCCCTTCCTCCAAGTCCCCTCCCCCCGAGCGACATGGCTGGGGGCGAGGGAAGTGGAGTGGGCTGCTCCCAGCCCCCCGCTAATCCCCTGGGCCACTCTGGGGCTGCGGGGCCCCCAAAAGTGCAAACCCCACCGCTCCTGCCTCCCAGACCCTGGGTGGGGGTAGGAGCCCCTGACCACCCCCGAGACCCTCTGCCCCTTTTCCAACCCCTCGGCCCAGCCCGGCACCCTTAACACACTGCTCAGAGCAGCGTGTCGGAGCTTTACTGCTTTGTATGCAAACCCGCATTATATCGGGTCGCGTTATATCGGGGTAGAGGTGTATCCGAAATGCCTTCAAAAATGGAAAAGATGTAGTCATTGGTGCAACCTCCAGAAAGTTGTTCCTCACTCCGCCCCTCTTCTGCTAGTTCTGGAGTACCTCTTGCATTTAAAGGAAAAACAGGATTGTCTCAGGGTTCATTAAGGGATTCCACAATAAAGGATTCTCACTGTTTGCTCATGCTCCAACTTTAATGTTCATAAAGGGATTGGGAAACATTTTTCCACAGATGAAAGCCCTTGCTCTGGTTTGGGACCTCAGTTTGGTTCTTAGAAATCTCATGAAACGCCCATTTGAGCCAGTGGTGTTCTGCTCATGTTAAACCCCTCTATGTAATTAGCCTTTGTAGTGGCTATTACATCAGCCTGAAGAGTGGATGAAATTGGGACATTAATGGCAGACCCTCCTTTCACAATATTGTACAAGAACAAGATTTTCTTACGGTCACATTGCAGATTCCTTCCTAAAGTATTGTTTGAGATTCAGACTACTGAATCAGACTACTTATCTACCAATTTTCTTTCCAAAACCACATAATTCCATTTTGAAGACTGCTGTCCACACTCTAGATATCTTGAGGGTGCCTGCTTTCTACCTGGATAGGACTAAATCATTCAGGAAATCTCCAAAACTATTCATTTTGTTTGGAGATAGATCTAAAGGATCTGCTATTTCTACCCAGAGACTGTCAAAATGGATCTCCGGATATATTATTGCTTATTATGTTGTTGCCAGCATTCCACCTCCTCCTGGGATGTCAGCTCATGCTAAGATGTCTCAGTCTACATCTGTGGCCCTCCTTAAAAATGTCCCTGTATCTAAGATCTGCATGATCCTCTGTACATAGCTTCTCCAGACACTACCCTAATCGATGCCTCTAGATCACATGTGGCAATTAGCAACTCAGTTCATTTCTTAATTATGGACTAGATTCCGAAGATCCCTCCTTCTTTCAGGGGTTCTGCTTGGAAGCCACCTGAAGTGAAGCACCCATATTCATCCTGTGCAGTAACTGTGTTTTTTTGAGATGCGTGACCCTGTGAGTGTGCCACTACCTGTCCTCCTTCCCCTCTGCTTTGGAGCTTCTTAAGAGACTTGGCAATGGAGAGGGAATTGAGGGTGGTTCACCCGTGCAGCTTTATATAGTCTCGGTGTGGGACAAAAGGATGACTAGGGCACCTCCATGGGCTGAATGGATGCTACTAATGAAAATTTCTGATCAACGGTATGTGGGGCACACATGCACCTGAAGTGGAGCACCCATAAGGGGACATGTCTAGAAGAACCACAGTTACTGCACAGGGTGAGTAATCTCCTCTTCTTAAAATGTTAGTCCCTCTCTAGTTGAACTCTTTATTAATGAGGGGTGGGGAAATTCTTACACTCATGGGGGACCTATAACATCTCTATATACACCAAAACAATGGTGGCTAGAGTTATGGGATGTTGCTGGTAAGAAAAGACTTGTACAGAAGGCAAGGTAACAGAAAATGTTTATGAAATGTGTCCGTTTTAGACTATAATGCTCCAATAAATCATTTTAATTTATAAAAACAATGGGTGAAATCCTAACTCCATTGAAATTAATGAAAAAACCCAACTGACTTTAATGGGGCCAGACTTTCACCCAATATTTATAAGGATTATGTGAACCAAAAAGTAAAATTCATATTAACCTCTTACATCTCTCCTCTCTATATCCTTTTGTGATTTTACATGAAAATAATTAAAATGGAGACACCATAGTAAAGTGATTTGTACCATGTTTGGCGTTGGCTCCTCTTCCACTTTGGAAAGTAAACCAGTATGAAAATTTGAGCAACACTTAAGTACAGTTAAACTCTAACAAATGACTGTATGCAGTAATAATTAAGCCAGCATAGACTTCAATGGAAATTGTTCGTCAATATCTTACAGCTCACTTGACAAGTGTAAAGATAGTGTTTTTCTAATTGCCACATCTGCAAGTTGTAATAGGGGTCTGAAAGTCTGAAATTGGGGTACTTCTGGCTCAGACACTATCGTCTTTCACCATCTGTAGCATAAAGCTAAACATCATAAACAGTACTGTTAAGTTCCAGCTTCAGAATTTTTATTACTGGTGATGAATGAGTAAGAAAAGAAAGTCTTCCCCCTATTGCTGTATTGGTTCTGTTGGACTTAAAGTAGTAAGAATTAATATTGTCAATAAAGTAAGCAAATATATCTCTGAATATACATGCAGGGAGCAGATTTGTTAAGTGAGGAGACATGTCCATGGAAGTCACTCTTCTGACGATGACCAGATATTTAAACCCCAATGCTTTATTACTTCATGTAATAAACATGTCTCTCCTTTTTTTCTTACAGCTCACACGCCAGACAACAGCTTCCTTGGGTTTGTAGTGGAGCAGCATCTGAATTCCAGTGACATTAAACACATTAATGACATCAAAAGGCAGAACCAGTCACTTGTTTATGGCAAAGTAGATAACTTCTGGAAGGTAAGTTGCAATTTTTTTTTTTTTACATCTTTGTCAAATTCATTTTGATCAGAGGAAAAATACATATATCTCAAGACTCACAATAAGTTGCCTCATGAATTTCTAATAAGTCCTTTGTCTGAAAAGAAGCAATAACTTCAAGGGATTTATCTACTGAGCATTTGTGGAGCTTTGTAATAAAAGGGGCATCTGCCTAGCTAACGGGAAGGGAATGGGTCTGAAAAGTCTGCACAATATCTGTCCACTTCACTTTGGGTGTAAAAATGCTACAACTTTCAGTAACATATGTGCTTATGCATGTCGATGAAGCATAGTGAGGCACAATGGAATTTTGAGTGTTGTATAACATTTCCCTTGCTTGGATAAAGGACTTTTTTTATATATAGCCCAGTGAATAAGATACTTGTTTTGTTTTATTTACTGGTAACAAAATTAGTCGGTCTAGTGTTATCAGACTGAATTGAGGGAGATACAGTAACTATTAAAGAGCTGTTGCAGGGATTTGAAGTGATGCAGGGGCTTTTGTAAACCTGGACTGTGTCATAAGCAACTCTTTCAGTGATTTATTCTCCTGCCTGCTGCAGAAAGTTTTTCTTGTATTTGAGAGCAGCCTTTGCAATGTTCTGATCATAAGGTTATGTGGAACCTGTTCAGGCTCTCACTTTAAAGCTTTGGAAATATCGCTTCTGATACTCCTTTGCAAAAAATCAGCTTTTTGCTTAATTGACCTTGATGGTTGTACAGCTATCGTATCTGGATAAGGGAGCGTCAATGTTTAGCTTGTCGTTGACAGCTAGTTCTGCTTCACAAAAGGAAGCAGTTGCCTCTGTGCATTTGTAACCCGCTGCTGAGAATGTGACAGGTCCCAGAGTGTGGCGATCTGCAGAAGACATGAGTCCGCTACAGCTACTAGCTCCAGACCTTTGGCTCTTTAGCTTACGATGTAGTAGCTCATGCTTTTAGGTTTAGATGTTCCCTTTCAATTCCCGCTATGTTGGCCAGGCTCTCAGCCATCATGCAAGTGGAAGCTTGTCTGAGATTCAAACTGCTGTTGGCCTCAGAGACTCAGGATGAGCTTCCTATGAGTAGAGGAAGTACATAACCTGTGGGTGTGGGTGTGAAAAGTCTTCCTTTGTGCCTGATCCACAAAGGATATGTATTGTCACAGCCTTCAGATCCAGAGTCTTGTCTCTTTAGCTGGCGCTGTAACAGCTCGTGCTTTTGTCTCTGGAGGTCCCAGGCCAATCCCTGGTGTGTTATCACAGTGGCAGCCATCACACATTAACATGTATGGGGCCTAGTGCCTCTAGCACAGGGGTGGGCAAACTATGGCCCGGGGGCAGCATCCAGCCCTTTCGACGTTTTAATCCGGCCCTCAAACTCCTGCTGGGGAGCAGGGTCCAGGGCTTGCACCGCTCCGGCGCTCCAGCCAGGGAGGGGGGTCAGGGGCTTGCCCCGCTCTGCGCATACCATGGCTTTGAGTGGCTCCCGGAAGCAGCGGCATATCCCACCTCTGGCTCCTATGCACAGAGGCAGCCAAGGGGCTCTGCCCCAAGCACAACGCCTGCAACTCCTATTGGCCGGGAACCATGGCCAATGGGAGCTGCAGGGGCAGTGCCTGCAGACAGGGCAGGGAACAGAGCCGCCTGGCCACACCTCTGCGTAGGAGCCGGAGGGGGGACATGCCGCTGCTCCTGGAGGTAAGTGGCACTCAGAGCCTGACCCCCATCCATGCCCCAACCCTCTGCCCCAGTCCTGATCCCCCTCCCACTTTCCGAACCCCTTGGTCCCAGCCCGGAGCACCCTGCACCTTCAACCCCTCATCCCCAGCCCCACCCCAGCATCCTCACCCAAGCTGGAGCCCTCACACACCTATCCCCACACCCCAACACCCAATTTCATGAGCATTCATGGCCCGCCATACAATTTCCATAGCTGGATGTGACCCTCAGGCCAAAAAGTTTGCCCACCCCTGCTCTAGCAGCAAACTGAGGAACAGTATAACTACCAGAGGCCCGTTCATGTTAAGGTGATGTCATTGGTTTCAGCTACATAAAGGAATACACACACCCTAATCACCTTAATTCCTTTGCTGCTACTGCTGCTGAGAGTGAAACAAAGTATCCAGTTCTCTTTTAAACCCTGTTATAGTCCTAGCCTTCACAACCTCCTCAGGCAAGGAGTTCCACAGGTTGACTGAGCACTGAGTGAAGAAGAACTTCCTTTTATTTGTTTTAAACCTGCTACCCATTAATTTCATTTGGTGGCCCCTAGTTCTTATATTATGGGAACAAGTAAATAAATTTTCCTTATTCACTTTTTCCACACAACTCATGATTTTATATACCTCTATCATATCCCCCCTTAGTCTCCTCTTTTCCAAGCTGAAAAGTCCTAGCCTCTTTAATCTCTCCTCATATGGGACCCGTTCCAAACCCCTAATCATTTTAGTTGCCCTTTTCTGAACCTTTTCTAATGCCAGTATATCTTTTTTGAGATGAGGGGACCACATCTGTACACAGTATTCAAGATGTGGGCATACCATGATTTATATAAGGTCAATAAGATATTCTCCGTCTTATTCTCTATCCCTTTTTTAATGATTCCTGACATCCCGTTTGCTTTTTTGACTGTCGCTTTACACTGTGTGGACGTCTTCAGAGAACTATCCACGATTACTCCAAGATCTTTCTCCTGATTGATTGTAGCTAAATTAGCCCCCATTGTATTGTATGTATAGTTGGGGTTATTTTTTCCAATGTGCATTACTTTACATTTATCCACATTTAATTTCATTTGCCATATTGTTGCCCAATCACTTAGTTTTGTGAGATCTTTTTGAAGTTCTTCACAGTCTGCTTTGGTCTTAACTATCTTGAGCAGTTTAGTATCATCTGCAAACTTTGTCACCTCACTGTTTACCCCTTTCTCCAGATCATTTATGAATAAGTTGAATAGGATTGTCCCTAGGACTGACCCTTGAGGAACACCACTAGTTACCCCTCTCCATTCTGAAAATTTACCATTTATTCCTACCTTTTGTTCCCTGTCTTTTAACCAGTTCTCAATCCATGAAAGGATCTTCCCTCTTATCCCATGACAACTTAATTTACATAAGAGCCTTTGGTGAGGGGCCTTGTCAAAGGCTTTCTGGAAAACTAGGTACACTATGTCCACTGGATCCCCCTTGTCCACATTTGTTGACCCCCTCAAAGAACTCTAATAGATTAATAAGACATGATCTCCCTTTACAGAAACCATGTTGACTTTTGCGCAAAAGTTTATGTTCTTCTATGTGTCTGACAATTTTATTCTTTACTATTGTTTCAACTAATTTGCCTGGCAATTACAGACGTTAGACTTACCAGTCTGTAATTGCCAGGATCACCTCTATAGTCCTTCTTAAATATTGGTGTTACATTAGCTATCTTCTAGTCACTGGGTTCAGTAGCTGATTTAAAGGACAGGTTACAATCCATAGTTATAAGTTCCGCAGTTTCACATTTGAGTTCTTTCAGAACTCTTGGGTGAATGCCATCTGGTCCTGGTGACTTGTTACTGTTAAGTTTCTCAATTAATTCCAAAACCACTTCTAGTGACACTTCAATCTGTGACAATTCCTCAGATTTGTCACCTACAAAGGTGGCTCAGGTTTGGGAATTCCCCTAACATCCTCAGCCATGAAGACTGAAGCAAAGAATTCATTTAGTTTCTCTGCGATGACTTTATCGTCTTTAAGTGCTCCTTTTGTATCTCGGTCGTCCAGGGGCCCCACTGGTTGTTTAGCAGGCTTCCTGCTTCCGATGTACTTAAAAAACATTTTGTTGTTTATTTTTTGAGTTTTTGCTTTTGGAATGGATGATTGATTGACTCCCCTTTTCACCTGAAACGTCCACTGATGATCCCTGGAGAGAGAAGTTTTGAGGAAATGAGAATTAATCCAAACTGGCCTAGGAAGCTATGATGTCCAAACGTACTAAATGATTTAATAGCGTTTCTGATCATGCTTCCCATGAGAATAGCTGTGCTATGTTAAGCTCATTTAAGAGGGCAGCACTGCAGAAGAAAAGATACTTACACAGATTGATAAACACCGTGTTGCCCACTTGCCAACTATCCACTTTAGTTGTCTATAACAGGATCCTTGGGGCATGGGAAGGGCAAAGTCTCTGTTCATTAGCTGACATATTGAGAACCATGTGGATATTAGTCAGCAATACATTTGTGGTTGTGATCCCTCCAAATTTGTTCATCCAAATCTAATCCTCCTGAAATCCTCACTTATAAAAGTAATTCTTGTTGACTGTAACGGTACATACTTTGGTGATTTTTCTGTTTGGTTCATGACTGAAGAAAGATTTCATTCATTTTCTTTTTTTTTTTCCTTCTCCTTTTGCATAATGAAGGTTTTTTCCCCAAAACACATTTCAGCAGAACAGAAATCCATTAGTTTTGAGTCTGTTCTGGCTTAGGCTTTTGCGATTACAGTTCCTGATCTGATTATCAGTACCGGAAGCATAATACAGTCTCTCAAGAATAGTTGGATCTAATAATCATCTATACTTCCTGACCTGATTAGTTGTGCAAGTCAACAGAACAGCCTGTCAAGTGTAGTCAGATCTAATAAACAAGGTTGTTGCTCAGTTACTTGGATTTTTATGCATACGTATTTTTTCAGTTCTTTAATCTGTCTGCCCTACTCCGGCAATGTGGATTGATAATTATAAGGCCAGAAGGGACCATTGTGATCATCTAGTCTGATCTCCTGTATAACACAGGCCATAGGACTAGAACATAGCTTTTAGAAAAACATCCTATCTTAATTTGAAAATTTCCAGTGATGTAGAGTCCATGACAATTCTTGGTAAGTTGTTCCAATTGTTAATTATACTGTTGTTAAATGTGTGCCTTATTTCTAGTCTGAATTTGTCTAGCTTCAACTTCCAGCAATTGGCTCTAGGTATATAGTTGTCTGCTAGATAGAAGAGCACTCCATTATC